ACAACAACAACAACAACAATGTTCTCCAGGTTCATCCATGTTCTGAGGTATTTTTGCAGATTATTTGTTATTCAGTGTTGCATAATATTCCATTGTATGGTTGGGCGAAAGTTAGTTTAACCATTATTCTGTTGATGGGCATTTAGGCTGTCTCCATCTGTTTGCTATTGTGAATAGTGCTGCATTGAACATGGGTGCACATATATTTATTCATGTCACAGTTCTTATATCTTGAGGATATACCAAGGAGAGGGATTGCTGGGTCATAAAGAATTTCTAGTTCCAACTTTCTGTGAAAGTGTTATACATTTTACACAGTGGTTGTACCATTTTACAGTTCCACCAGCAGTGTAGAAGGGTCCCAATCTCTCCACACCATCACCAGCATTTATTGTTTTCCAGTTTTTAGAACTTTGCTATTAATGGTGGAGTAAGATGGTATCTCATTGTTATTTTGATTTGTATCTCTGGTGTGGTACTGTGAGTTAATGCGCTGGACTGCAAGGAAGGGTCAAACTACAAGGTTGGTGATTCAGTCTCACCAGCTACTTCTCTGAAACCCTATACAGGGTCACTGTGAGTTGAAACTGACTCTATGGCACTGAACAACAATGGCTAGGGATTGTGAGCATTTCTTCTTGTTTGCCACCTGAATGTCTTCTTTGGTGAAGTGTCTGTACATGTTCTCTGCTCGTTTTTTAATTGGATAATTAGCCTTCGGTTTCTTAAGGCATTAAAGTGTTCTGTAAATTTTAGATTTCTCTGATATGTCATTCCTAAACATTTTTCACACTCTGTGGATTTTTATTTTATTCTTTTTGGTGAAATCCTTTGATGCAACTATGTGTGTAATTTTTAGGAGGTCCCAGTCATCTATTTTGTTTTCTGTATGTATATTTTCAGTTATGTTTCATAGTGTATTTCTGCCATGAATCAGAGCTCCTATGTTTGTCCTTTTTTGTTCATTGATGATCTGTATAGTTGTAGGTTTTACATTAGGTCTTTATTCCACACTCTGTTTTTGTATATGGTATGAACTATGGATCTTGTTTAATTTTTCTGCAAAATGGATTTTCAATTTTGCCAGCACCATTTGTTGAAGAGACTATCTCTTCCCCATTTAATGCATTTTGCCCCTTTGTCAAAAGTCAACTATTCATAGGTGGATGGATTTACTTCTGCGTTCTCAAATCTGTTTCACTGATCTATGTTCCTTTCATTGTACCAATACCAGGCTGTTTTGACCACTGTTACTGTGTAGGAGCTCTGGTAGCGTAGTGGTTACGAATCGGGCTGTGAACCGTGAACCGCAAGGTCAGCAGTTCTAAGCTATCAGCGGTTCTGCGGGAGAAAGATGAGGCATTCTGCTCCAGTAAAGATTTACAGCCTCGGAAACCCTGTGCTGGGTCACTATGAGTCGGAACCGACTCCATGGCATTTAGCACCAACAACTGTGTAGTAAATTTTGAGATCAGGAAGTGACATACCTCCTACTTAGTTCTTTTTTCATAATGCCTTGGCCTATCTGTGATCTCTCCTTTCCATATAAAGGTAGTGATTAGTTTTTCCATCTCTTTAAAGAATGATGTTGGAGTCTGGATTGGGATAGCATTATATCTATTGATTATTTTGGGTAGTAGCATTTTTGCAGTGTTAAATCTTCCTGCCCATGGAGGTATA